TGGGTGTGTGTGTGGTGTGTGTGTGTGTGTGTGTGTGTGTGTGTGTGTGTGTGTGTGTGTGGTGTGTGTGTGTGTGTGTGTGTGTGTGTGGGTGTGTGTGTGTGTATGCTGTGTGTGGGTGTGTGTGTGGTGTGGTGTGTGTGTGTATGCTGTGTGTGTGTGTGTGTGTGTGTGTGTGTGTAATAAGATCTTACAGTCTGAATGCAGTATTCAATGTTTGTCTGACTGCAGTATTCGATGTTTGTCCATAAATGTCCAGTTTCGATGGTTAAGTTCAGGCATTAATTCAGAATAGTTAAGGTAAGGGTTAAGGTTTGGGAGTTAAAACCCCCCAAAAAAATTTAACAAGTGCCCACGATCCTTGGAGCAGGAGCTCGCAGCTTACGCCCATCTGCCATTCTCATCCACAACGCCCTAGCAAGCCGCCAGCCTACTTGATGGCAATAGTGCTCACCGTTGCCCCTAGTGGCCTGTATCGAAGGCATCTCCCGACGTCCTGGTAGACCTGAACGAACGTCAAATACTGCATTGAATCTGGTGGGGACCTGGCTGGTGTGTGTCCATCCATGGGGGAGGGGAAAGAGGATATAAGACTAGGACCAGTTATTCCATATTTCACAGTAAACATGTCGTTCCCCACGAATGATGCAGCGCCCCACTTGGGCCAATTAGTGACAACAACATGTAACCGTTGTAGCGCCACCGTGTGGTCGATATAAATGTTCTTCCATACGTTGAGTCTTGACAGTGTTTGCAACATGTGTACCAAATGTTGTTTCAAAACAAATATCCATGACTGATTTATATGCATTTATGTGCCAGACCACGCCCACGTGAATGTTTATTGTTGTTTTAGGTACTAGTCTGGAAAATATTGTGTTGAGATGCTTTTGTCCATGGATGCCTCATATCAAGTTTCGTGCAGATCGGTCATTTGGTCCCAGAGGAATAGCATATTACGTTTTTGTCACAAAATTCAAAATGGCGAAAAATCCATAATGGCGGACCTTATGGGTCCCTGAGTCAAATTTGTTCCTTGTGAGGAGAGGAACCTATATACCAAATTTCATGACTCAAGATCAAACGGGGTGAGGGGTGTGACCTTTCAAAGTTAGCATTTTCAATACCTTGTTATAGAGCCACCATCTGGCCATTTTGTAATTTTGTAAATTACACAAGCCGCATTATTCACCCAAGTTTCGTCAAAACCGTGCCAGTGGTGAGATATCGCGTGTGACGTATGCACGGGCGCACGCACGCATCCACGCACGTACGGAGACAGATCCATAGTCCCCTCCCCAATTCCATCGTGGGGGACAACTAGCTCCAGGCCAGGTATACCTGACCCTTTGTCCTGGGATAGAGGAACCTCCCCCCTTCACTCACACACACACACACACACACACACACACACACACACACACACACACACACACACACACACACACACACACACACACACACACACACACACACACACACACACACACACACACACACACATACACACACACACACTACCATCCCCCATCCATTCTCGTGGTAGGTAGGTAGCAGCAGGTACAGTATATATACAAAAGTATGTGGACACCCCTTCAAATTAGTGGATTCTGCTATTTCAGCCACACCCGTTGCTGACAGGTGTATAAAAATCGAGGACACAGCCATGCAATCTCCATAGACAAACATTGGCAGTAGAAGAGCTCAGTGACTTTCAACGTTGCACCGTCATAGAATGCCACCTTTCCAACAAGTAAGTTCGTGAAATTTCTGCCCTGCTAGAGCTGCCCCGGTCAACTGTAAGTGCTGTTATTGTGAAGTGGAAACGTCTAGGAGCAACAACGGCTCAGCCGCGAAGTGGTAGGCCACACAAGCTCACATAATACAACCTTGGAGTCCTAATCGTCTGTCCTCGGTTGCAACATTCACTACAGAGTTCCAAACTGCCTCTGGAAGCAACGTCAGCACAAGAACTGTTCGTTGGGAGCTTCATGAAATGGGTTTCCATGGCCAAGCAGCTGCACACAAGCCTAAGATCACCATGCGCAATGCCAAGCGTCGGCTGGAGTGGTGTAAAGCTCGCCGCCATTGGACTCTGGAGCAGTGGAAACACGTTCTCTGGAGTGATGAATCACACTTCACCATCCGGCAGTCCGACGGACTAATCTGGGTTTGGCGGATGCCAGGAGAACGCTACCTGCCCCAATGCATAGTGCCAACTGTAAAGTTTGGTGGAGGAGGAATAATGGTCTGGGGCTGTTTCTCATGGTTTGGGCTATGCCCCTTAGTTCCAGTGAAGCTAAATCTTAACGCTACTGCATACAATGACATTCTAGACGATTCTGTGCTTCCAACTTTGTGGCAACAGTTTGGGGAAAGCCCTTTCCTGTTTCAGCATGACAATGCCCCAATGCACAAAGCGAGGTCCATACAGAAATTGTTTGTCGAGATCGGTGTGGAAGAACTTGACTGGCCTGCACAGAGCCCTGACCTCAACCCCATCGAACACCTTTGGGATGAATTGGAACGCCGACTGCGATCCAGGCCAACATCCAACATCTAGTGAACTCAGATTCGTGGTCCTCTGTAGCTCAATTGGTAGAGCACGGCGCTTGTAACGCCAGGGTAGTGGGTTCGATCCCCGGGGACCACCCATACGTAGAAATTTATGCACACATGACTGTAAGTCGCTTTGGATAAAAGCGTCTGCTAAATGGCATATTATAGTGGAAAGCCTTTCCCAGAAGAGTGGAGGCTGTTATAGCAGCAAAGGCGGGATCAACTCCACATTAATACCTATGATTTTGGAATGAGATGTTCGGCTTTGGGTCATGTAGTGTACGTACGACAGGACCAAATCAGAGAGATGGGGAGGAGCAAGTGCATGTAATGCTTTGTAGGTTAGCAGTAAAACCTTTAAATCAGCCCCTAGGAAGCCACTGGAGGCTAGCACTGGAGTAATATGATACTTTTTTTTTTCGGTTCTAGTCAATATTTTAGCAGCTGTGTTTAGCTCTAGTTTATTTAGTGCATTATTCGGGTCACCGGAGCATTGCAGTAATATAAATCTAATCTAATCTAATCTAGAAGTGACAAATGCATGGATTAGCTTTCCTGATCATTTTTGGAGAACAAGTTTCAGATTTTTGCAATTTTACTAAGATGGATAAAGGCTGCTCTTGAAATGTTTTTGATATGTTCATCAAAAGAGAGAGATCGGAGGTCCTTCACAGTTTTATTTGAGATGACTGTACAACCATCGAGATTCATTGTCAGATCCAACAGCAGACCTTTTTGTTTCTTGGGTCCTAGAACCAGCATCTCTGTTTTGTAAAACAGTTTAAAAGTAAAACATTTGCCGCCATCCACTTCCTTATGTCTGAAACACAGGCTTTCAGGGTAGGACATTTTGGGGCTTCACCATGTTTCATCAAAATGTACAGCTGTGAAAGTTGACGTTGTGTGTCTACAGTCTGCAGTTCCACTGACTGTTCCCAGGACCACAACAACAACAACAACAACAACAACAACAACAACAACTATAGTAAATAGGAGTCTTGTTTGTGAATATCTATGTTACTTATTTAATGGCAGCAGGGATCTTTTTCGAGGTTGTAAACCTGTGCATGAGTCAGTGTGTGAGTGTGTGTGCGAGTGTGTGTGTGTGTGTGTGAGTGTGTGTGTGTGTGTGTGTGAGTCAGTGTGTGAGTGTGTGTGCGAGTGTGTGTGTGTGTGTGTGAGTGTTTGTGAGTGTGTGTGTGTGTGTGTGTCAGTGACTGAAGGGGGGAGGTTCCTCTATCCCAGGACAAAGGGGCAGGTATACCTGGCCTGGAGCTAGTTGTGTGTGTGTCCATCCATGGGGAGGGAAAGAGGAAATAAGATCCAACGTAGTGCCAGTCTTATTTCACTTGCAAAACTAGTTCCAGGTCAAGTACAACTTCCCCCTCACACACACACACTCACGCACACACACATACTTACGCACTCGCACACACGCACTCGCACTCGCACACACACACACACACACACAACACACACACACACACACACACACACACACACACACACATACGCACTCACGCACACACACACACACACACACATACACACATACGCACTCACGCACACACACACACACACACACACCACACACATACACACACGCACACACACACACACGCACACACGCACACACTCCCATCCCCCATTCTCGTGACATTAGATCATTAGACGGAAGGTTCAGGTTACCTGGGCAGTAGGTGTGGTCTCTGTTTTGTTCTGTGTGTGTGTGTGTGTGTGTGTGGTCTCTGTTTTGTTCTGTGTGTGTGTGTGTGTCTGTGTTTGTGTGTATTTCTGCTGAGGTTAGGGCCAGAGCCAGGTAGGTAGCAGCCAGGTAGCTCTGTTGTGTTTGCTGTGGGCTGATGCTGTTGTCAGCACACCTGTCCTCCTGTCCATCAGGCTCCTCCCCTAGCTCAGGGGGCTTCTGTTAGCTGGTTTAGTACAAAGGAGAAAGAAAGAGATATTTGTGTTTGTGTGTGAGATTGCGATCAGTCCGTAGGACACTAAAACTCCAGCATCACACAACGACTCCAGTCTACTGCATCCAGGGAGGGACCCCCTTCACCACATCAATCACACAATCAGTCTCTAGACGCTAGACTCTACAGTCTCTGCAGCAACACTGACTGTTCCCAGGAGCCTGGACACATGACAACAACGACTACAGTAACTAGGATTGCATCCAGGGATTCAACACAGCAACCCAACCTCTAGCTCTGTCCTTACAGCCCAGGTGACTGTTCCAAGGAGCCAAGAGCCAGGACGGATCTCACCAGGACTACATCCAAGGATCTCACCAGTCTCCACAGCAAACCAGCCCCCCACTGACTGTGTCGGACCCAGCTGCAGTCTTTTGTCATCCAGGCAGGGATCCCATAGCAACCTACAACCTCTAACCTAGTCTCTTTAGTCCCACTGTCCCCCCACTCCTAGGCTCCAGGATGACGTCTATGGCAGGTCGGCTGGCCCGCCAGCAGGAGAGGGACAACGGTGCGGGAACCAACCAGCAGGCGGTGAAGTACCTCCAGCAGGACCATGAAACGCTGCTTCAGGACTGTCTGGAGACTGGGAGTCTGTTCCAGGACCCCTCCTTCCCTGCAGAGAGCAAGTCTCTGGGCTACAAAGAGCTCGGGAAGTACTCCGCCAAGACCAAGGGGCTGATGTGGAAGAGACCCACGGTAAGAGACCACTTTTGAATTTCCCATATATAGAATGTAGGATCTAGACATATAATGATAGGATCTCTGGCACTGACTACCAGGTACCCTGGACTGGTTTAATTTGAAGCATGGGAAAAGGTAGTATTATTGTGAGCTGTATCAGTTTATCAGTGTGGTAATATATATATGTTGTTTGTATATAATGTAATGTATACTCAGTGTAAGATTTAACATTCATTGGAGATTTAAGCTTGTCACTACGTTCTTAGAAATGAAGGCGCTGAGTAAAACCATATATGGTTCGTCCACATAGTGGAACCTCTGTTTGGTGCGAGAACTCTCTATGTAGGGTTCTTCATAGACCCCCCCCCCCCCCCCCCGCCCCTGTAAATGGTTCTACCTAGAACCTTATATGAAGTGTTCTTCCTAGAACCCTTTATGAATGGTTCCACCAGCCTAATTAGCCTTTAAAATTAAATACTTTATGACAATACATTATGCTCTAGTTATATATACCCTAACAAAGTGGTGTTAGGAAACTCCTGGTTTACAAGCCACATCAGGCCTGTTAGTCACATTATGCTGGCTTGCAAAGTGATGTGTCATTCCTATTGGAATCCAGCCAGAGTGAGAACAATTGGAATTTTGAATCACTTGCAACCCGCGTTCAGAATGACGGCCAGGTTAACGACGATTGATGTACAAAAATGTATGCTGTTTATCTTTGTGTAGCATAAGATTATTCAACCAATCAATGTAAATGCAAAAACACAAATATTGAAAACAATTCTGAAAATCTATCTGCAATAGAGCATGATGGGAAATATGATAATGATGGGCGTGGTTTTGAGTGTTTTAATGACACAATCAACTCTGGTAACAGTACAAAAACAACACTCCGGTTATTTTACACAACTGAGTGTTAAGTTAATTTAACTCCTGAATCAACACTAGAAATGTTACACTGAAAAACCAACGCAATGTAAAACTGCCCAATTTGCTATGTACCATACAATACACTGCTGGTTCATACTTCCTTCTATTCTCATACTCTCTGCTCAATAAAATCACAGAAAATACTCATTTGAAAGTTTGAAATATAAACTATGTCAGTACTGTATATGCCAAATGATTATGGGAGTACCAGATACATCTACAGTACAATTATTCCAATATAAGTACAGTTCAAAAAATTCTTTTTAAATTGATCAGATTATTCAAACTCCTGATGTTAAAGTTTAAACACTGAAGTAAACACTAATGCTCAGGCACTATTTAAAATAAATAAAAATAATACAATGAAAAAGCTTTTTCAGATTCAAAAGGGTTCGTCTTCCAAAGAATCCTTCTTGCCTTCCAAACAATCACAAAGAACCCTTTCTTCTAAAAAAAAATGGTTAAATAGGATGAACATTTTTCTAGCTAGAACTCTTAAAAAGAACTATTTTGGAACCCTGTTTCCAAAAAAGGGTTCTTCAGATGAAAACGGTTATTGGTAGAACCCTATTCCTCTGCAAAGAACCCTTTTGGAACCTTTTTTTCTAAGAGTGTATAAATAAGTACTGTCCCAGAGGAAAAAGAGTGGTTATTGCTGTCTCAGTGCTGACATCATGCCAACCCAAAGATCTCTGGCAGTTACAGTAAAGGTGCACAGTCACCTTTTAAAGGCACCTTGGCGGATGAAAATAAAATTACACTGAATGCTGCCCTGGGGATATAACTGCCCAGGCATAGAACAATGGAAATACTACACAACATATCGTAATGTTAACCGGAGCTTTAGAGACATGGGCGGTGGGCAGTGGTCCGTTTGTTGACAGTGGTTCTACTTTCTGGTTGACTGATCTTATGTGTGTTAGGGTTAGGATTTCAAATTACACAGACACAGACCACAGCATTGCCTCTCCTCTGAGTCTAAAGATTAGATCAAAAGGGGATTTTGTCAACTCATTGTTGACTCAGCTGACTGGACTAGAGAGTATTATCAGACTACTGCACTGTAAAAATCCGATTTTAACCAATTGCTTAATCAGCGTCATTCTGTGAGTTGAGTGCACTTCAACTGGACAAGAATTTGAGCTAATGCATTAAAGTTTGTTTAAAGCTGGTTGAGTCAAATTACAAATTCATGTTTGCCTTTGGAAGACAACACTGTATGATGGTTCAGCAAACTCAACATGGTTACCTCACAATTGTACGTTGTGAATCAACAAACTGAATTTGAAGAAGCTTGTTGAGTAAAATTACAAATGTATATTTTCTCAAAACCAATCAAAACCACGCCCATTATTATCATATTTCCCAGCATGCTCTATTGCAGGTTGATTTTCAGAATGATTTGTTTCAACACCATGTACATTGATTGGTTGATTAAGCTTATGCTACACAAACATAAATAACATATATATTTTTTCTAAATGAATCCAATCTGTTAGTAGTTGGACTTTTTGCACCCGTTACTAAGATGACTGTTCCAGTTAATATGATTTAGGTAGTCTAAATAATCACTATTTCCTATGGCAGTCATTCTCAATGCAGGTTGATTAAAAGTTCCTTAAAAAGTACCTTGAAGAATAAACTAAAATAGATAGAAGTTCCAATTGTTGGATATTCTAACTCTGGCTGGATTCCAATAGGAATTACACATCACTTTGCAAGCCAGAATAATGTGACTTGCAGGCCTGATGTGGCTTGTAAACCAGGAGTTTCAGACCACTGTGTTAGGGCGTAACTATGCCTTCAAAGAAAGGCCTTGTGATGTACAGTTGAAGTCGGAAGTTTACATATACTTAGGTTGGAGTCATTAAAACTTGTTTTTCAACCACTCCTCAAGGTACCACGTTCATCTGTACAAACAATAGTACGCAAGTATAAACACCATGGGACCACGCAGCCGTCATACCGCTCAGGACGGAGACGCGTTCTGTCTCCTAGAGATGAACGTACTTTGGTGCGAAAAGTGCAAATCAATTCCAGAACAACAGCAAAGGACCTTGTGAAGATGCTGGAGGAAACAGGTACAAAAGTATCTATATCCACAGTAAAACGAGTCCTATATCGACATAACCTGAAAGGCCGCTTAGCAAGGAAGAAGCCACTGCTCCAAAACCGCCATAAAAAAGCCAGACTACGGTTTGCAACTGCACATTGGGACAAAGATCGTACTTTTTGGAGAAATGTCCTCTGGTCTGATGAAACAAAAATAGAACTGTTTGGTCATATTGACCATCGTTATGTTTGGAGGAAAAAGGGGGTACCTTGCAAGCCGAAGAACACCATCCCAACCGTGAAGCACGGGGGTGGCAGCATTATGCTGTGGGGGTGCTTTGCTGCAGGAGGGACTGGTGCACTTCACAAAATAGATGGCATCATGAGGAAGGACAATTATGTGGATATATTGAAGCAACATCTCAAGACATCAGTCAGGAAGTTAAAGCTTGGTCGCAAATGGGTCTTCCAAATGGACAATGACCCTAAGCATACTTCCAAAGTTGTGGAAAAATGGCTTAAGGACAACAAAGTCAAGGTATTGGAGTGGCCATTACAAAGCCCTGACCTCAATCCTATAGAACATTTGTGGGCAGAACTGATAAAACATTTGCGAGAAAGGAGGCCTACAAACCTGACTCAGTTACACCAGCTCTGTCAGGAGGAATGGGACAAAATTCACCCAACTTATTGTGGGAAGCTTGTGGGAGGCTACCCGAAACATTTGACCCAAGTTAAACAATTTCAAGGCAATGCTACCAAATACTAATTAAGTGTATGTAAACTTCTGACCCACTGGGAATGTGATGAAATAAATAAAAGCTGAAATAAATCATTCTCTCTTCTATTATTCTGACATTTCACATTCTTAAAATAAAGTGGTGATCCTAACTGACCTAAGACAGGGAATGTTTATTAGGATTAAAACGTCAGGAATTGTGAAAAACTGAGTTTAAATGTATTTGGCTAAGGTGTATGTACAGTGGGGGAAAAAGTATTTAGTCAGCCACCAATTGTGCAAGTTCTCCCACTTAAAAAGATGAGAGAGGCCTGTAATTTTCATCATAGGTACACGTAAACTATGACAGACAAATTGAGAATTTTTTTTCCAGAAAATCACATTGTAGGATTTTTTATGAATTTATTTGCAAATTATGGTGGAAAATACGTATTTGGTCACCTACAAACAAGCAAGATTTCTGGCTCTCACAGACCTGTAACTTCTTCTTTAAGAGGCTCCTCTGTCCTCCACTCATTACCTGTATTAATGGCACCTGTTTGAACTTGTTATCAGTATAAAAGACACCTGTCCACAACCTCAAACAGTCACACTCCAAACTCCACTATGGCCAAGACCAAAGAGCTGTCAAAGGACACCATAAACAAAATTGTAGACCTGCACCAGGCTGGGAAGACTGAATCTGCAATAGGTAAGCAGCTTGGTTTGAAGAAATCAACTGTGGGAGCAATTATTAGGAAATGGAAGACATACAAGACCACTGACAATCTCCCTCGATCTGGGGCTCCACGCAAGATCTCACCCTGTGGGGTCAAAATGATCACAAGAACGGTGAGCAAAAATCCCAGAACCACACAGGGGGACCTAGTGAATGACCTGCAGAGAGCTGGGACCAAAGTAACAAAGCCTACCATCAGTAACACACTACGCCGCCAGGGACTCAAATCCTGCAGTGCCAGACGTGTCCCCCTGCTTAAGCCAGTACATGTCCAGGCCCGTCTGAAGTTTGCTAGAGTGCATTTGGATGATCCAGAAGAGGATTGGGAGAATGTCATATGGTCAGATGAAACCAAAATATAACTTTTTGGTAAAAACTCAACTCGTCGTGTTTGGAGGACAAAGAATGCTGAGTTACATCCAAAGAACACCATACCTACTGTGAAGCATGGGGGTGGAAACATCATGCTTTGGGGCTGTTTTTCTGCAAAGGGACCAGGACGACTGATCCGTGTAAAGGAAAGAATGAATGGGGCCATGTATCGTGAGATTTTGAGTGAAAACCTCCTTCCATCAGCAAGGGCATTGAAGA